AAGCAGGAGGAGAATGAGCGCCACCACAAGGCGAAGAGAAGGAGAGAAACGCAGGGGGAGACGGCAGGGGAGAAGATCAAACCCCGGCAAGCGCCAGCGCAGCCTCCCCGTGACCTGCTGCCTTCGGATCTGCCCGACGTTGGCGTTCAGGTGCAGTGTCCGCATGTAGCCACCGGGGGGCTCCACAGAGCCTTCATCCTGAGATGAATGGCTGCTCTCTTGGCTGACCCCTCACACAGTTGATGCTCACTTACCAAATTTAAATTGCAGAAGCTAGATGTTTTGCAGATATATATATTTATATATACATTTTCACTGGATGACTCTTATTTTATATTGAAGTTTTTTGGGGTTTTTTACTGTCACTTTAGGACAATCAGGCGGATCAATGTTTCTAATGCAAATAAACGTAAGCCGAGACAATGAAAACAAAATTAAATCACGCGTTTCTGTGTCTCTGCAGTCCTGTCTTTCTGGAGCTATTGTGGGTTTAGAAGCTGCAGACCTCCAAGATGAGGTGGACGAGGAGGAGGAGCAGGAGCGGCACGAGTCCCTGCTCCAGAGACAGAAACTAGTGGAGGGCCTGGGTGTGGTGGACAAGGTCCATGAGCTGCTGCAGACCCGGGCAGAGGGAGGGTCCCTCTACCATTACTCCACAGACATCGGTTATCAGAGTCAGCATCAGAGGAGAGACGTGAGTTCAGATCCGGGAACAGACCAAACCGTTGATGTGGAAACATTCATCCTTTCATTTGTTAAGCTGTTCCTTTGTGTTGCAGATACACTTCCTAACGCCCTACTCTGACAGACACAGACATCAGGTAAGTTTCACCACACCTTCTGAAAGAATTCACACTTTTTTCTTTTCTCATTTTGTTACAACCACAAGCTGCAATGGGATTTTATGTGACAAACCAACAAAAAGCGATCCAATTTTTTTTTTGTTTTATTTTATTTTATTTTTTATAAAGATACAATTTAATTTCAAGCTCTTCTTAAGCTCACAGTGTAGTAGCATTGTTCGGTTTTCCCCGTGCAGGAAATACGTTTCTACAACAGGAGGGGATTGCAATACTGAAAAGTCGACTCTATCATTTTAAAGACATAATTAATTTGTGCGTTAAAGTACAAACAGTCGCCCTTAAGAGACACTTAAAATAGAGTTGATCTGTGTTTAGTTTAATCCAGAGTATAATCCCAGCTGCTCTGTGAAGGCCTCAGAGGTTTGCTGGAGAACATGAGTGAACAAACAGCATCATGAAGATGAAGGAACCAAGCAGAAGACGCTGCGGACGAATTTAAAGCAGGTTTAGGTGATGAAATATATGAAGACTCTTCAGAAAAAAGAGTGAAACAACCGCAACCCTACCATGACATGGTTATCCCCATAAACTGACACTATTTGTGGCAGAAGAATCAAACTGCTTGTCACATTTAAAACATGGCAATGGCAGCATCACGGCAGAGGCCTGGAAACAGATCAGATAAGATTGATAGAGCTGAATTCAAGACGATTCTGGAAGAAAAACTTCCAGAAACTGAGGCAGCGGAATGATTTAGATCAAATGTTAAAATGGCCCAGTCAAAGTCGAGCTGATTAAGCTTCTTTCTCAATGAAGAATTGGTAAAAAAAAAAAAAATGTCACTCTTTAATTGTGTAAATTAATGGGAACAAAAGGTGGTTCAACAAAGAAACATAAAGACATATACAAATAAGATTTTTACTTATATATATAAAAAAAAGTTATTTTCTTATCACAAAAAAATATATTTTGATTAAAATATAGCACAGATTTGTGGCTGTAATATGGCAAAGATGCAGGGCAATCAGGAATCAATATGATATTTTTTAAATAAATCCGATCCTTAATAGATATTCCTATCATAATTCTAAATCTGCCTCTTTATACAATTTTATTTAAAAAATATATATATTTTAGGAAACATCTTTTCTAATTGTCCCCAGTTTAATGCCTGTAACCTGGCCTCTTCCACAAATAACTGCAATTCCAAATAAATTAGTTATAAGTAATGTAACAAAAAGTCTTGAAAAGGAATATAAATATGTATATATATATATATGTATGAACAAAGAGAACATTTTCAGTGTTCATGACAAAGAACAACCTGAATCAAATAAGCCAACAACATTCAAATATTCATTCCTCGTTCTGAAGTTTGATGTCTTGATCTGAAAACATGGCAGAGAATTGAACAAGCAGCCCTGCAGCTCCGTGATCAAACGTCTGAACAATCTAAACGGTGGCGTAAAGTCGGCACCTCATGGACGCTCAAGCCGTCCGCAAATCATTTGCGGAGCTGCAAATAATCATGTGACATACTTCGAATGACATTTCTGATTGTTTTCGTTGCAACCGGTCTCAGTGGCGCATGGCGACTCAGCAGTATTTGCTTTTGTCCCACAACAAAAACAGAGGAACCTGAACGAGCACACCTGCCTGCAACTAGACGTGGAGAGCCTCCACAGGATGGGCGAAGGGCGCAAGACCTCCGGAGCCCACCTGGGACCCTGTCAAGGTAGAGTCCAGTCCCGACACGGCCACGGGTTTCAGACCGAGAGCAGCTGATGAAGTATATATGCGTTCTCTCTTTTCTGTTGTTTGAAAACAACAACAGAAATAGCTTTTCAATGACTGCTAAGATCAAAAATGTCTTGGAGGGAGGGAAAAAAGTGGAATAAAATCTAATCCATCGATGCTTGTTTATAACCACATGAATACATAAATAAATAAATTCGAGTGGAATCAGTGGAGACGCGGTCTGCAAAGCCTTTGTTTGCCGCTCCTTTCATTGTCCTCCTCTTTTCAGTGAACAGCTCCATGGACGCCTCAAAGTCCAGAGGAAGGGTCCCCGCCATAAACCCCAAGAGGGGTCTGCACTGCGGCAACTCGTCCAACCACTCCGCAGACCTGCCGAGCCTCCTCATCGTCTCCACGCGCATCCCGCTGCTCCGGAGGCCTGGCTTCTCTCACGTGGAGCACAGCTCCCCCCGGGGAGTCCCCCGGCCCTGTAAAAGACTCTGAGGAGCGGGGCCACCGACCTCTGAAGCCCCTCGAAGGAGAACCGGGAGATCCAGGCGGGGCCGCGCGATCTGTGCAGGATTTGTTAAAGCACCTGGGTGGTGGAGGCAGAGCAATATTTGACTGTGAATTTATAGTAAAATACACAGTGCCTATATGAAAAAAAAATGCTGTAATGGATTTTATATCTGCGAAGCTCAAGTTTACACTCCTTTAATAAAACGGCCCGCAAAAATATGAAGTTTTATATCATATAAAACCCTCGTTGAGTGCCATGATTTAAAGAAAAAAAAGAAAAAAAAAATCAGATATCTGCTATATTAAAAAAAGAGACATGTATTTAATCTGAGAACATTTTAAATAAAGAAACTGGGTTATTGAAACCAGAGAATTTCCTGAAGTGTTATTTGATTAAAAAGTAATTCTTTTAAAAACACTGATGTCACATGTTCTGCTTGCTACTCCAGACAATATAAAAATGCTTGAAAATCACCACAGAAACCAAGAGACCAACTAATACATCCCAACGACCTAATTGCAAGGAATCACATGTAATTGTTTTCCCAAAAGACAATTATGAGAACAGATGCATTTAAGATAAATATTTCAATTGCATTGTTTTGTTGTTGCAACGTTTGAATTTTATTTTTTCACTCTGCACGTTGTTCTTAAAGGCCGTAGAGTTTAACCAAGTTTCTTTCTTTGCTTTAGAAATTGAAAACGGAGATTAATAATAATAATAATAATAATAATAATAATAATAATAATAATAATAATAATAATAATAATAATAATAGAATAATAACAAAGTAAAAACAAAAAGATTTAGATCCAAAATTACGCAATTTATAAAAACAATAAAACCCAAAATGAGATCAAAAGTCATTTGATGGAGCTCTGTAAATGTCTGGAGCGAAACAAACTTCTGATAAAATTGAGGGAGGGGAAAAAGGTGCATTTTAAACATCTTTTTATTGTGTTTGACTGATTTGCAGCAGAAATGTTTGCAGGCCCCGCTGTCTGTTTGATCATAATTATCATGAATTTATTATCAAGCGGACTGCGCCACTAACCCCACGCAGCGTGGGCCTCTGGGAGAAAACCTGGCGACTTTTATCAATTCATTTTCACTCGTTATTTTTTTGTTTATTTGTTTGGTGGGGGGAGGCAAACAGATTTAATGCACATCTTTGATTCGGAATGCCTTTAATGCATGTTGTTCTTTTTTTCTCTCGTTTACTTCGCGTCTCAATAAGTAAATAGATACTTAGTCTTGGGAGTTTTTAATTACTGGAGGCACTCAAGGAATTTATGGTTTTATTGCGTCTATAAACGTCGGAAATCCTCTTTCAGTGCTGAAAAACACCAGCAGGCCAGCGGGAAAGATACACTGCGACTGAGAGCAGAGCGGAAATGAGAGCAGAAAAGAACAAGAAAAAAAAGAGGAAAAATGATTTTTTTTACGATTTCTTTCAGACTTTGCACCATTTTTTTTCCTTTACATTTTTTGAGAAAATGCTTGTTTACATTTTCTCTGCAGAATATAACTGAGTTGAACATTTCTTCAAAGTTTGACCAATTCTGTGTTTTTGTGAATATATATGTATTATTATTATTATTATTATTATTATTATTATTATTATTATTATTATTATTATTATTATTATTATTATTATTAATATGTAGCTTATTTAGAAAACACAAATATGTTTAAATCGTAAACTAAACACAAATAATTTTAAGAAACAGTAAAGTGATCTCTGCTTTAAATATTTATATATATATATATATATATATAATATATATATATATATATATATATATATATATATATATATATATATATATATATATATATTATATATATATATATATATATATATATATATATATATATATATATATATATATATATATGGTAAACATAAACAAACCTTTCACACAGCTGCAGCGGTCAAGCGTGCGTCCTGTCCACTTCATATCATCTCCACTCTCCTTTCTCATGCAGCTTTAAAGCCAAACATTCCTGCCTTGTAGGGGGGAAAAAACACATGAAAACAAACATGGCGAGGGGAAACCTCGTCCAAAAGCGCAGAAAACCTCTGCGGTTTATGAAAATTTACAACTTTCCCGTGGAAGTTTACGACTCGTCCGGCTCTGGGATTGGCTCGTGGCGGTCATGTGGCCAGCAGGAATGGGAACTTATTCCCCATGAGGTTATAACGCAGCTGCTGTTTTTTGCACCGCTCACTCACCTATAACAGTTTGTTTCACATCCCCAACCTTCTTTTTCTTTATTCTTTTCTTTTTTTGCTGCTGTTGTTGAAATGTTTGTTTTCCCCGAGTCTTCCGTGAGCTGAAACACGCGTGTAGGTGAAGCTGTTATTGTTGCTCGCTGTGTGATTTTTTTTTTCTTTTTTTTTTTTTTTTGGGAGGGATGATGGCGCCTCTTGCTCGACTCACTGTGCCATGTTCATCCAGCTGCACCTCTGTGGCGTTTTTGGAAATGAGGGATCAGCGCACTTCTGGATGGAGGGATTACTTTCAAGTTGTCACTTAGGCAAAGTGGAGATTTTTTTTTTTTGTTTTTCTTCTCGTGTGTGGGGGAAGCGAGAGGAGCTCCAGCGGAGTGGCAGCCACGCTGGTGATGATGGATTATCAACAAAGGTAAGGGCATCCTGCTTCTGGTTTGCGCTGCTGCTGCTGCTGCTGTTGCTGCGGCTGCGGCTGAGCTGTCACTGCAGGCCTTTTGTTTACATGGCCGGGAAAGGGGAAAAGCTCCCCTTAACGAAAGGGCAATTATCCAGCGAGCGTGTTTTCTCTTTCTGTTTGTGCCCTTACCACGCAGCTGCTTACTTTGATTAACCCCCGAGGTGCTGCAGCGCCTCCAGCCGCCGACGTCTATCTGCAGAAATGATGGGGAAATTGCAGCAAAGGTTGTTGTTTTTTTGTGCTTCTGAGGCTCTTTTCGGAGTCTGATGGAGGGAAATGTGCGGCTGTAGGCCACAGGCTTGACTTTGATGATGATGATGAAGGTAAAGATGAGGGTGGTGAAGGCCCCGCGCCACCACTGGCAGATCCTCTCATTTGAGATTAACCTGATTTGCCCACAACTTGTTCTGTTTCTTTATATCGTGTTTTGTTTTCCCCCCTCGTTTGTATTTTTCCTTTTTTGTTTGTTTGTTTGTTTCAGAAAAACACGTTTAGAGCCTTTTTGGTGATTTGGCGCGTCACCGTTCCCTCAATGCGCTTTTGTCTCCTTTTGGACAGAAACCAACCGACATAACCCTTTGTCTGTCTTATTTCTGATTTTATATTCAACTTCACATCTTTTCCGGTTTCCTGAATGCCTCTTTATTTTCTGTTATGTTTTATTTGTTTCCATCTCCTGTGGCGCCTGCAGCTGCGCATCGATGCGTTATTTTCAGAACCAGAAATTGATTCAAAATGTGATTCAAAATAAAAAAAAAAATGGATATTTTCATGCTTTTACAAAACAGCTATGAATGTTTAGGATTTTACATAACATCCCAAAATATATGGTTCCTTCCCCTTTAAAGTCTGAACAGTGTGCTTGCAAAATGTTTAAAGAAAAAAAAAAGCTCGTTGGATTTAATGCAGAAAAAGAAAAGTTTTTCGATTGTTTTTTTAAATAAGTTTTCTTAAAATAAACAAACAAAAAACTAAGAAAGAAGTGACATATATATATAAGTATAAAAAATGGAAGGAAGCTTATTTTTGATAAGCAAAAATCTGAACCTGCTGCAAATGTTGCTCTGGTTAATTCTGTGACAAATATGAGATATTCGTTATTTCTCCTCTCAAACAATCTTAAACCATCAGCATTTAACTGCGTGGGTTGACTTGAGGATTCTTCCTTGTTTATTTACTCACTTATTTACTTATTTGCTCCTCTGTTCAACCCGCAAAAAACCCGCATGTTTCCACCTGAGAGCCGAAGATTCGACCCACAAGATTGAAACGCGGCGACTCAGTTGCGTTTGATCTGCTGTCATCTTGGCGTTTGTGTCGCCATCAGGAGCTCAAGCCCTGACGCATGTGACGGAGCGATGCACATACCTGAAACTTATCCCACCTTTTCTTTTATTAAACCTGCGGGACGGCCGCGCGCTCGGTCTGTGTGTGTTAATTGGGACGGGGAAGGTGGTGGTGATGATGATGATGATGATGGCGCCTGAGCGAGTCCTCCCTGCGTGGCGGCTTCCTGCGCGTCAGAGTTGCATCTGGACACATCAGCAGGGACGCGCACCTTTAGGGAAATGAAAGCGTGAGACGAGGCCAGTCAGCTGCTGCTTGTTAAGACGCTGCATTGAGAATGAAGGGTTTAATCAAAGTGGGTTAATTAATAGGGCGGAAGTGGAACTCGAGAGGGGAGAATAAAGCAGAGATAATTGTTTGGTTTTGATGTGATTTTGCTTATACATACTCGTACTTTGGCGCTAACAAATTGCGTGTTTCTTTTTTTGTTTTTGTTTTTATTTTTGCTTGTTTGTTTGTTTTTCTTAATAATGCAAGTCCGTGAATTAAAGTGTGCCTTCGTGTGAGCGCGCGTAAAGACCGACTGGCTCGAGCGCTTCATTTCGATTCACCGGGGACTCCTGTGCGCAACAAGAGCCCCCCATGGGTGCAATAGTGCAAGCACAGACGGCGGTGATTGGCCAGAGGTTGATCAGATGGTACACTTCCCCTCTGTATCCAGTGGCACCTCACAGCCCCCCTTTCAGCAAAAACCAAATCTCCGATAAAGTAATGGCAAAAGCACTTGGACTATAAAAGACAACAAATCATATTCCTCCGGAGTAAATACACCCCGTTGTCCACCCAATGAGTTCCTATTTCGTTAACTCAACTTTCCCCGTGTCTCTACCGGGAGGACAGGACTCTCTCCTGGGTCAGATACCGCTCTACTCCTCGGGATACACGGACCCGTTGAGGCACTACTCCAACGCGGCCACGTATGGAGCGGCCAACATGCAGGAGAAGGTCTACCCGGCTTCCTACTACCAGCAGTCGGGCGCGGCGGCGGCGGCGGCCATCTACGGCCGCGCTGCCGCCGGCGGCGGAGCGCCGTGCGACTACAACCCCGTGGGCACGTTCTACAAAGACGCGGAGGGCTCGTGCGCCTTCTCGAGCGGCCGCGAGGAGCAGCCGCTGTTCGTCACTCAGGAGCACCAGCAGCGCAAGGCGGAGTGCGCGGAGCAAGCTGTCAGCATGAGCGGCAGCATCGAGGACAAGTCCTCCACTCTCATCTACCCCTGGATGCAGAGGATGAACGCCTGCTCCGCCGGTGAGTGCGCGCGCTCCTTTTTTTTTCTTTTCTTTTTTCTTTTTTTTTTCTTTTTACCTCACTTATGGTAAAAATAAAAAAATATATATTTATATATTTTTGCATCAACTTTGCAAAGTTTAAGCACGCATGGAAGCGGGACAGAAGACTGTAGATAAGGACTGTATGCGCAGATCTTCGTGCGTTATCGCAGTTTTGGCCGCAAACAGCGGACTGCACGCGCGCACTCAGCAACGCACGCACTGACTGGGCCTGCACCAAGCCCGCGTCACATGGTCCTTTTCAGATTTTAAGACAAAAATTCTTCAAGTATCATAATAGAATAGAATAGAACAGAATTCAAAGACGTATTATTTATAGCATAAAATCGCAGATGTTCAGCAGCAGTATCTAATGTTTTGCTGGCTCCACTAATAACAGAAAAATGCACATGACGACGATTTACAGCAGGTTGATTTTCATAGTTACCCACAGTGCATTAGTGTCAGGAACGTGCACTAGAAGATCTATAGGTTCAAATGTAAACAACAGAAGTCACGGATCTCAGTTGTTCAACTAAAATGCATGAGGCAACGTGAGTTCACCCCATACTGGGTGTCATTTTACACGCTTCTACGTTAGATGGGCTGCGTTGCGTCATTTTCTTGGGTGAAAAAATGACATCCTACTATAAAATGTAGAGTTCTTTTTTTTTTTCAAAATGTCGCCTTAGTGAGATAGTTGCAGTCTGTTAAACGCAAATCAAGGAAGAAAATATGCATATTTGCATTACAGATATGCACATATATTTCAGACAGATATCTGCACAGTTTCATCTCATGTTTTATTTTATTTAAGCTTGAGTTCGCAGTTTGAATAATTCGCTGGTGAATTTTTCTTTTGTGCTTTCATGTATTTATGTATGTATGTATTTTGGATTTGCAGGCCCGTTTGGGAGCAGCGGCCGCAGGGGCCGGCAGACCTACACCCGCTACCAGACCCTGGAGCTGGAGAAGGAGTTCCACTTCAACCGCTACCTGACCCGCAGGCGCCGGATAGAAATCTCCCACGCCCTGTGCCTGACGGAGAGACAAATCAAAATCTGGTTCCAGAACCGCAGGATGAAGTGGAAAAAGGAGAATAAACTCCTGAATCCCTCAAAGACAGCCGAGGAGGAGGAACAGGAGCAGGCGGAGAAGAAGAGCTAAACTGCAAAGGGGACTTTGAGACAAAAAAATAAAAAAATAAAAAAAGGAAGAAGAAGAAGAAACGCTTGAATGTGTGCGTGTGTGCGCGTGTGTATACAGAAGACGATGTATAAATTCTTTGTAGATATAAGAAGTGCTGCAGAAACCCCACGTTAGAGACGTGTAGAGTGACTTTGAGTATTTGCACGGTGACTCTGTCCGCATTTATCAGGTCCTCCTCTGTTTGTTTGTCCTTGTGCTCGTGTCTTTATTTTAGAGGACTATGCAACAAACCGCCAAACTGTAAATAAAACCCAGTGTTTATAGTTCTCCGTGTTGTTACCTCATCACTATTGGCCCGCTGGGCGCCACCTTTATTTAATCTCAGTGCCAATAAAGCAGGTTTTTTTTTTTTTTGTTTCTTTGTTTTTGTCCCTTGTCGTGTAGTTGCTCTGATGTGACTGGTGATATAGTCTTTAGGCTTGTTGCTTACCGATGAGTTCAATTTGTACAAATGTTATTTATTGTTGTCTCACGTGTTCAATGCACATCTGGATATTGTGTGCAATATTTTCTTTAGGGGAATTGTACATATAAGAAAAAAAAATAAAGGCTTTTTGATGTAAATCTGCAAAGTCTGCTCTCATTCTTCCTAAAAAAAACAATAAAAAATAAAAAATATTATTATTGCCCTCATTATCATTACCGCGGCGTCTGTGCTGCCGTTCATGCCACCCATAAGGCCCATAAAATGATATAACGTTGAAGCAAAGAGTGAAATAAATTCCGGTTCGACGCACTGTAGCGCAACATGACAACAGCGGGGCTGATAAACTTTCTGTTATGTGTTACCTGAGCCTGCTGTGGCCTGTTGTTATGAGCCGGGTTACGGAGATGATGGATGGACTCCGCGCGGCCTCGCAGCGATGCCGCCACTGGCCAGCAGATGGCGCTCGCCGCCTGCGCGGCTCTCGGGGGCGCAGCGGGGAGGCACCATTGACTGGAGCCTAACGACCATTATTTCGTCATCATTTGTAACCATGGAGCATGAATTACCTCTTGAAGTCATCAGTGAGGATTTACGACTGGTCAACAAAGGCACGTGATTCCCGAGCGCTCTCCCATATTTGGCCGCATACCTGGCAAAGTACAGTAGGGCTTCATTGCTTATAATTCATGATTGCGTCCATAAATCGTGCAAGCACACAGGATTATAGCGACAAAGATCTACAAATCGAGGCTTTAAAAATCCAAGCAAATGAGCTCTTACTTTGTAAACTCGTTCTCAGGGCGCTATCCAAATGGCTCCGACTATCAGTTACTAAATTATGGGACTAACGGCGCTGTGAGCGGCTCCTTCAGAGACCCTGGCACCATGCACTCCGGGTCTTTCGGCTACAACTACAATGGCATGGACCTAACCGTGAACCGCAACAACACGGGCGGCCACTTCGGCGCCGTGCGGGAGGACGCCCGGGGATTCGCGCCGGACGCCCGCTACAGACAGACGCCCAACTGCTCGCTCTCGTCCCCGGATCCGGTGCCGCCCTCGTGCGCCACGGCCGGTCGGGATCCGCTGGAGCTCAAGAGCCCCTCTCCCCCCTCTGACCGGAGCGCGACCTCTTCATCGGGTGGCAACAGCCTCGGCAAAGCCGGGGGCGCGCACTTCGCGGAGATAGAGGACGCAGCGGCAGCAGCTGCCGCCGCCGCCGCCGCCGTCGCTGCCGAGACCGAGGAAGGCGCGCACAGCAGCGGCGGCGGCGGAGGCTCCGGCGCGGCATCCAGGGCGCAGCAGCAACAGCAGCAGCAGCAGCAGCACCAGGAACCCAACGCCACCTCCTCCACTCCCACACCAAATGAGTGCCAAACGCCACAAATATTCCCCTGGATGCGGAAACTGCACATAAGCCATGGTATATCCACACACGTCTAATATTATTGTGTTTGGAGGGGATGTCACGCTGCCGGTGTGCCATTAATCTGTCAGGCGTCGCATGAGTGAGCAGGCTGGTGGAAAACGGAGCAGTATTTGTTAGATGTTTGTGGGCTTGCTTGCTCGTTTTTTGTCGGTGGAGGTTTAGAAACCCACGGCTGAGAGAGAGACCGCTTTGTGAAATCTGGATGAAACGCGCGCAAAAATATGCGGACGCGCCTTCCGCAAGGGCTGCAAACGTGAAAGGCGGTAATAACTGACAGTTTGCATGTGTGCATGCTTTCCCCCACTCTTTGCACCATCCCATGCCCCATCATGAAAAAAAAAAAGCCAGAAAAATTACAAACGATAAGAATACAAACAATTAAATAAACTGGCAGTGTCCTCCCCCCCGCTTTAGAAAGTTTTTCTGCTAATTATCTGGATATTGTTACATTTTTATTTTTATTTATTACTTTTTTGTGTGTGTGTGTGTGTGTGTCTGTGTGTGTGTGCGTGCGTGCGCGAAATGTAGATATGACTGGACCTGACGGGAAAAGGGCCCGAACCGCGTACACCCGCTACCAGACGCTAGAGCTGGAGAAAGAGTTTCACTTCAATAGGTACCTAACCAGACGGCGGAGGATAGAGATAGCCCACGCCCTGTGTCTTTCCGAGAGACAGATCAAAATCTGGTTTCAGAACCGCAGGATGAAGTGGAAGAAGGACAATAAGCTGAAAAGCATGAGCCTCGTGACAGGAGGCAGCGCCTTCCACAACTGAGCAACTTTTTTTTTTTGTGCGTGTGTTTGTTTTGTTTTGCTTTTGGGAGGCAAGGGTACAACAACAACAACAACAACAACAACAACAACTAAAGAAACAAACAGAAAAACAAAAAGCAAGAAAAAAGTGTTAATAAAGTTTCTCCCCCCCAAAACAAAAGAGAGAGAGAGAGAAAGAAAAACATGAGTACTGTATAGCTTTTGAAAGCGCAGCACCTTCCAGCATGCCATTGTGATAGGAAAAAAAAAGAAAAGAAAAAAAGAAGTATTCTGTGGTCTTAAAATGCCATTTTTAGTTTACTGTTGTTGTACTATCATAGCTTAGATGTCCTATTTGGGGGCTTGGGGTAAAAAAAAAAAACTCAACAAAAGAAAAAAACAAGAATAATAATAATAAGATGTAAATATCATTCTGGGAATTTGTCTCTCTTTCAAGGTCTCTTCTGTTTCTTAAAGTCGAGCTCTTTATTGTAACTTCTTTGACGGTCTAACAGGAGTAAAAATCATTTGTACAGTTAAAAAAAAAAGAAGAAGAAGAAGAAAAAGAAGAAGAAGAAAAAGAAAAATTCCAAACCATATGCTGCTCTTCATTGAATGTAAAGCGCTTTTAGTGATGGTTATTTGTGGCCAAAATCCATAGAAAAGTTTCATAAGCAAGCCAATGTGTAGCTCTATAGGATACGTTGTGCGTTTATTATTATTATTATTATTATTATTATTCTAATTATTCTAATTATTATTGTTTAGAATAACAAGCAATGCAAGTGTATTCAACCTGTCAATGTGATGAATTTTTAGTGCAAAGGGTTACTCTGTGGACATAGGCAGTGATGTGAGCTTTCTGGAGCTTTTTGTATTTGTACGTGAACTCATAGCGCTTGAGAAATAAACTTTTCCCCTCAGTTGATTTTGCGTGTGTGTGTGTGTGTGTGTGTTTGTGTGTGTGTGCGCGCGCGGTGAATTATCGGTTAGAATAAAAGCAAACGAGCAAAAAAGAAAAAAAAAAAAAATAAGAAGAAACTGCTTGACTTTTCCCGAGTTGTTTCTTTTTAGCGCAGGAACTTTCAGCCAAATTAATGATTAACCCACCAGGCGTCTTAAACGCGCTTTTCCCTCCGCTTAAAGAGAAAGAGAAGACTTTTTCAGACTTACCTCTGCTGAACTCCCTGAAGCGAGACGAGTTTATTATTATTTTTTCCCAACGGGAGAAATCCTGATCAAATCCTTCTCTCATCATAATGCTAATAATAATAATAGGCTAATAATAATAATAATAATAAAAAAGGGGACTTCTTTGGGCTTAAAAGGTACATTGGCCAGGCAGAAGTTGGTAAAAAATACCTCCTTACCAAAGATTGTAAAGGCCTATATTACTTACAGACTGTGAAAAGTCACGTGAGGTCCATAAAGTTGGTTTTATGGTTTTGGGGAGTAGACAATGTACTATATAATTCACAACCTTGAATGAAAGTGACGGCTTAACTGCATGGATGGGACTGCAAAGGGTGGACCTGGGAAGGGAGCGATGTCCAGTCACGTTGAACCGACGGAGAAGTTCAAGAAAAATGTTTTTTCTTTTATCTTTCTAAATTTTAGATTCAGACTATTGGTCCGGTCTGAGAAGTATCCTGCTTAAAACGCTTTCTTTTGGGGAGATTCTGTTCAGTGTTTCTAATTTGAAATAAAGTTCAATTAACGACTCAACTCATTTAAAAAAAAATAATTATCAGCCAACTTACCCAGCTAATTATTACAAATTATTAAGGTAATTTTGTTCCGTCTTTCTCAAAGAAGTGAGTAATAATAACACGTTTGTGTCTGAGAGGTTAAACATTAAATAGCATAGATATTTTTATATAGGCTACTATTCTGATAAGAATATACCTGATAACGATCAGGTAAAACAAACGCCTCATTGTCCAACAGAGAGCAGAAAAGCTGGCGTGTTGCTGCATCATGACTGAGTTCATCAACTTTGTAAAAGTTGCAAACTGTCGAAGCATTTCTAACTTAAACCTTGAAGCTTGTTTAAGTTATGGAGGTTCAACTGTCACTGAAGAGCAGCTGCGTAGCTTTGAGTGGCCATTTCAGGACAGCAGCTAAATGAACCTGCAGCTTATCAGCAAAGTGTAGATCAATCTAAACATTTATAAAGTTTTAAAATTTATTTAAGCAGATTGGAACCTTATATCTGACAGCTAAGCTGAAGGGCAACGGCAGCAACTTAGCTTGGGGTTAGCAAGCTTCGCATGCAAATGTACATGCTTGCTAGCATGCACATTAGCCTCTTTTCTAACAACCGCAGCTAATATGTCCCGATAATTGAAAACATTTACCTCATGGTTAAGAGGTAAACCGTGAGGTAACGTTAAACAGTTAGCATGCTAACTTTTTGACAGTTAGCTGTTTCGACGTTAGCATGCTAAATAGCACTGTTGCTAAAATAGCTAAAGCTGGTATATTCTAATATTCTCGCTCAAACGGAAACCATCTCGACCACAAGTCTTATTACAGTAGCTCATTTATTATTATTTTTACAAAGCTGATAATTCATAATACGACTTAAATACAACTTAAACAAATTACGAGAACAGTGACAAACTTAACTAATGTTTCACTTCGAATTTGATATTTGTCTCAAAAAGGAAGCTGTTGATATTGAGCACCACTTATACAAAGTTGATAAAAAAAAAAAAAATAAAATAAAAAAATATTAAATGGACTAATCTATCTATCTATCTATCTATCTATCTATCTATCTATCTATCTATCTATCTATCTATCTATCTATCTATCTATCTATATATATATATATATATATATATATATATATATATATATATATATATATATATATATATATATATATATAACTATATATATATCTATATATATATATAGATAGATAGATATAGATATAGATATATAGGTAGATCGATATAAATTATTATTTTTTTCCAAATAAGAAAATAACATACAGAACAAAGTGTTTTATTCTCAACATCACAATAAAAGTCGGAGGGAAAACAAACCTCTTGAGACTCAATCGGGCTGCCGTGGAGCGAACTTGAGCGGCTGATTGATGCCTTTCCGCGGAGTCACCGAGCGGCCAAAGGTGAAGCCTCGGACAGCAGCGAGCTGGACTCAGGTTGGGATCCCAGCCTGAACCCATCGCGCATTGTCTCGCAACCAATAATAAAATATAATGAAGGAAGTAGGAGGCTGTATTACCAAACTAATTTCAGGTAAAAAAAAAAAAAAAAAAAAAGAATGTTAAAAGTAGTGGTGGGCTATATATGAGCTCCAGACATTTTCCACATATTCATAACTATTAAGTGGCAATTTAGCCAGCGTAATGAGTATTGCATATTGATAGGGGTAATCTGTGCCCGGATCTCATGCATAATTCATTGAAGCCGGGATCATCGGCGGGTCAGGAGACGATAGACTGCAGCCACAGATGCGTCAGGAGGAAGGAAACGCGCTGCAGCCAGACTTTGCACTGTCACTACTCCGAGCCTCAAGAGTGCTGACAAAAGGCTGTTTGCAGAAAACAAAAAAGGGCTAAATGTTCTATCTGTGATAGTTAATAATGACATATGTTTTCATTATCAGTGACAATTTTTTGTTGTTGTTGGATAGAAACCTTTAAACAAAAACTTAAGAAAGAGAATTAATTGCTTGTTTTATTTTTAGAAAAAAAAACATATTTGATTTTTATTGTTATTTTGAGAGTTCTCTTTTTTATCACAACTATTGTTATCTTAACAGTTTATGTTCGTGCAAAAAGTGTCTACCTTTTTACTGCTGGTATTCAAACACAAGATCAGAAGTAAAATTTAAGTTAGATTTATGCGTCAAAATTGATTTGATTCACCTTTGTTTATTTAAAAATGATGATGATGATGATAAAGTAGATGAAACAAATGTCACCTTGCGCATCTTTTGGGGGCGGGGGAGGGTCTGGTCGGTTTTACTGATGAACATCTGTCTGTGTGTGAGAGGGAGGTGCTGTGATGCAGCAGTTCTGCCAGCAGAGGGCGCCTCAGACCGACCGGGCGGATGATGGATGAGTTTGTTTCCAGCTCCCTTTCAGGTCAGGCTCTTATCAAATGCAGGTCACCAAGCAGGAGCGAGCCGAGTGGTCTGTTGGTTAAGTCTTTGGGTCCGGTGGTATAAATAAAACTTCTCTGAGCTGCAGGACGCTTCTGCGGCTTCTCATTTGTTTTTAAAAGCGACAAACACTTGTAAGAATAAGCATAATTCTTATTTATTGTAAAAAACAACAACAACAAAAAAAAAAACAAAACAATACTGAGCAATAATAAAGTGCTTGTAGAAAAATGAAAGACTTCTGTACTTCAAATTGGCCGTACATGGACAATGAATAAATAATTAAATAAAATACTGTGCGTAATGGCGAAATGGGAAGATGATGAAGTGAAAGAGCGCTTCAAAGAGACACGAACAAATATTTCATGGAACAAATATGTTAATATCTCAGATGGATACAATAAATATACATAAAGGATGGTGCCTTGGGGAAACTTTGTTTATTCTCTGTCATCCGTACCCTTTAAACTAGAATCACTGGATTATGTACACAGTGCTTTGCTAAAGTATTCCGACCCATCTAAGTGTTTCACAGGGTGCCATACAGATGAGGATGGAACAACAGGTTATATCATAGCATTATGAAATAAAACTGTAAAAGCACTTCTTTTCATTCTTCCATTCAAAATCTGAAAAGTGTGGCATGTCTTTGTATTCAGCCTGTCCGAGTCAGTATTTTATGGAACAACCGTTTGCTGAAAAAAGCCACAAGTTGCATAAGTAGATTAAAAACTTTATCATTATCCTTTGCCAAATTGCTCCACACCAGTCAGATTAGATTAGACTATTTCTTCCAGCGTTGTAGAGTTATTGTTAAATAATAATGCATTCTCACACCTGATCCTTGGATCTTGTCAAAGCTTCCTGTGATACTAAAAACACTTTTGCTGTTTCTGTCATAAGTGCTCTCCATGCCTGGCATGTCAGTTTAAGTGGGCAGCCAGGTGTCAGGTTAGTGGCACCGTTTCTTTCCATGAAGGACTCAACAACGCTGTCAAATACCCAAACGCTTGAGTTATCTTTGCACAACTTTACTGCTTCTGGATTTATACTGAAGATACATTATATGGAGGTGAATTCTGTTTTGGACTCTGCTTACTAATCAGATGACTGCATTAAATTTTAGTTATGTGAGGACGGGGGAGTAAAAGCATGACTTTGTTAAAAAAAAAAAAATGAAGAGAAATCTGTGTATAATTTTCTCTCACTTCACAATTTTGTTCTATTTTGTGTTGGTCTATTACATAAAATTGACCAACACAAAATACAAAAAAGTTTGTGGGTGTAATGTGACAAAATGTGGAAAAGTTAATATATTTTATGAGGCACTGATTTGTGGGTGGACCAGCACAATTGAAACAAAAGTTTTAAGAAAAAATATCAAGAATAGGTGAGTATACATTTTTTGACAATTAATGCCCCATTAATGCTTATAATGAATTCCTTTCAATAAAAAATAAACCATTAACAGATAAAGTTTTGTTAACTTTATCTGTTAATAAAATGTCTGTTTATTAACAGATAAAGAACATTGGATTATTTTGTGATGTAAAGGTAACATGTGGACCCTGAATGCAGTAGATCATTTATTAATGCTTTAATACAATTGAATTATTTGTATTAAGCCTTTAAATAAAGCATAGCTACTTCACATTTTTAACAGGTCACATCATGTATTAGGTCATTTTATATTTTTGTTTCTTAGTCTGTATTGATTAGTTACTTGTGTTTCATTAAAAAACATATCTGTCATATTAACAACTTTCACACCTGTTTAGACTTAATTTATAACAAGTTAAATAACAAAATATGATTTGTGTATTCATTCTAACAATATGTTTTTATATGTTAAGCATCATAAATGACGTGTTACTATTTTATGCATTAGATTTGTATATTGCATGAACTCATGATGTATTTTCTGATGTGATATAACACAAGTGTCACTATGCTTGACCTCTTAGTAACCCTTTCTTAAACATTTCAGACTCTATGAATTATGTTTTATCAGTCCATGGCTATCATTTATGAATCAAATGGATTGATCAAATGGATGGATTACGAGTTGTAGCTCCTTAACTAATAACATTAATAACAGGATTTTAAAATACTCCCCTGCAATACATTTATATAAAAATTTCTAATCAAGTATTATTTTTATTTGAAAGTTTTATTGGTGCGTAAATACCATTTTGACAACATATTAAATTAATATTAATAAGAGAGTATTGAGTGTGCTTGTCTTGTTCTTATGCTTGAGTTTAAAATTATTAATCTAAAATTATATATAGAAAATTATAATAAAATATAATTTTACCAGCAGACTATATTTTGGGCCCTTTTCTAATACTTATTTAAAATTGATAGTGTCATATATAATCAGGTCCTTTATTAACTCTGATTTAACATTTCTGACCTCATTTATTTTTACTACACAGCTTTACAAATCAATACAAATTGATTTACCAATTTTAAACCAATATTATTATTTAAAATTTACTAGTGAATAAATGCCATTTAAAATGCTTAATTAACATTTTCCTATTTGTCTTTTTCCTGGCAGCTTGGACAAAAGAAGAGTGGGATGTAGTGTCACAGGCCAATTCACTCCACAAGGAAAAACTCTCACATACAAATAAACATTTAGAGAGTTTTATTGTAGGCATTATTAGTGCTTAATTAACAGTCATAATAACAATGTGGATTTGATGAAATGTTGGTTTGTCAATATTTATTAATGCAGAATGACTGAATAAACCAGCAAGAGATTTTGCAACAACTGACCTTCATTGTCAAATCTCATATTGGCAAACATGTTTGCCTTTTACATTTTGCAGCTTCGAGACTCTTTGTTTTATAACATGATTTACTTTTTGTCAGGTTTTTTGTCAGCAGAGACCAGTGGCATTGTCACCTGTATGCACCCTGTAGATCCGAATTTGTGTAAACATAAATAGAGTCACAAGTTCCCATCTTGGGGCGCATGCAGGCGCCGACACCTCAACTTCAGCAGCAGAAGAATAAAGAAGCCTATGAAGAAGCTACAAACTTTCCAACATTTCTGTTTGAATTTATACCAAGCTGTTGGTCATCAGTGGAGTTTCCCCCCCCCCCTTTTCCCCACCCCTTTTTTCTCTTTCCTTTTCTTACGCCACATTGTTGGTGAATATGACATCTGGGAGAGTTGCAGGGCGAGCCTTGAATGTGGTCATTGTTCAGCACATCATTTGTCACGTCCTTTCTGTCTGTGGCCGAGGAGGAGTTGCTGTTTGCAGGGTGAAATGTGAAGAGGAGCTCGACCAAACAGCTACAACCCCAGTCGGCTGGAAGGAGAATCTGTCCAGAGGAGAAGAGAGGAAGATGACGAGAAAGAGGAAGACTGCAAAACAGAAGTAGGCTTGCAAACGTGTTTTCTAATTTGTTCAGAAAGTAAATTACAATCTAGCTTACAGTTAAATGAAATGAAACAAATTACATTAAATAATTATTTGATTGTCTTCAGTTTGATTTAAATGACCATTTTCCATGCTGAAATTTTACAGACAATTAGGAACTGGTTGGTAATGCCATTTAGTGCAGAACCCTTTTTTGCTATAAATATTCTCGTAGGAGTTACTGACTAACTTGGAAATGTTGCAAATCCGTTTATTTGCTGCTCTTAAAAGGCTCTGAAAGTGAATCTGTGTTGCATGTTTATCAGTGCATTAGTTCATTTATTACCTTGCTCGTGTTGTCGTTGGGAAATCGAGTTGCTGCCACTGTTGATTCAACTGTCCCTGGATAAATTCAGAGCAATGAATCGCCTGCGCCTGCAAACACGTGGCTCCTCTGCAGCTAACTGACAGCGGAGGCTGCGGAGAGCTGCATTTGTCAGCGGGCCTTGCAGACTGGATGGAGGCTGCTGGAAAGTGCCCATGTCCATCAAACATCAGACCGTGAGGTGATGAGCTCAGGAACGCTGACTGATAACTACAGTCTGCTGTGTGTGTCCAGAGCCGGCCTAAGGCATGTGTGAACTAAGCTTCTGCTTGGAGTCCACAGGCCTGTATGGAGACCGGTCCTCAGGAGTGAACACAGATTCCAAAACTTCAGATTTTTGATAACCTTCATCCTCTATCAGCCCACTTTTAAATTCACCTTACAGTTTTCTGATGACTACATTCTTTACAATTCGATATTTAAATGTCTTCAGGGTTTGAAGAACTGACAACTCAATTAGTAGCGGTAAAAAAGCAAATCCTTGATAGATTCAGACCGTCACGATAACAATTACATTTGATGACATCATTTCTGACCTCTGCTTCTGTGCTGGAGTCAGGGGTGTCTCCAAAAGGTCTTGATCGGGTTGACAGACGGGGGCCCGATCAAAACCAAAACATCAAAACCAAAAGCTTCAGCAGAATTAGCAGGGGCTTCATGTTAACATTAAAAGATAAATGTTAAAACTTCTTGAACTTCCTCTGTTATTTTCTCTGGCTTGGTGGGAGGGGCAGTTAATTTATAGGGGTAGCCTTTGACCCCCGTGACCTCCTGGTGGTGCTGCCTGTGGCTAGAATCACACTGTAAATATAGGTCAGAGAAATAGCATTTTCTCCACCACTTATTTACTGCTATTTGTTTAATAATTCAAGTGACGTGAACAAACCTCATTCTATTATTGCAATATTTATAGTAATTCTTTTGACTTGCTAATAAATTGGCAGAATCTAAAGAGCTGCAGACACTTTAGATTTTGCTTTGGGCCCCGTAGCTTGAACCTAATAGGAAGACAACTTTTATTTGTGGGTCCCACGTGAATGGGAAATGGCTGGAAACTGGGATTGTCCGCGGGAACTCGATGGCTTCACGTGGACTCACTCAGCGGGTTTGACGCTGGACCCACATTGCTCATTATGAGCCGCTAAAAGCCGCGCAGAGGGCCCAACTGCGTGAACACAGACGCGTCCCGTACCGGCCAGGACGCATTCAGCAGCTGCCCATCCAGACCCGCATGGGGCCCGCGCACACGTGTTGACCGGGCGTTCACACAGAATCAGATCAGCGCATCCGCACCGCCGCCATCGGCCCCAGCAGCCTCCGCGTCCCCTTCCCCCCATCTCCCCCCCAGACATCAGCAGGCGGTTTGTTTTCTAAACAGCGCGCTCCTCGCTGATTTTCTCTCTGTTTTTATGGCAGCTTTTATAGGCCATCAGCGAGACGTATGGATTATTGACCAGTCGGGCTGCGAACACACGTCTCCCGCATGCAGTGCAGCAGACATTTTAGGCAAACGCGTTTCATTTGGATTTCATTCGGGGGGGTTTTAGTGTTTCGGGCCTGCGATACGTTGAACTTTGCGTTTGAGAGCGTTTATAGGATCGACACTGCATGTGCTCTCTGTCTATTAAATGTCACAAAAAACAAACAGAATAAACTGGAAACATGACGCACAATGCAATCAACTAAATCACCATATATCTGTATAATTAGTGGCTTTATTTGTACAATCTCAATTCTTATTCACCCTTAACTGTAAGCGTTTAATTGTGGCATTTTTAAAAATTTATTCATTCATTTGTTTTTGTTTTTTTGCACGAATCTTTACCTTCCACAATAAAAGTCTGTTTGCAGAAGACATCATACTCCGACGGCTGTCGTTGTCCGTTTGATCAATTTCGCTCCGGAGATCAAAGGCACCAATTTGCATTAATCAACGCTGCGTGGTTAAATATTACCTTCAGGATCCAATTAAAACCACGGAGCAAAACAAGAGAGAGGGAGAAAACAGAGAAAGTAAAGAAGAGAGGATGAAAGCGGAGGATCGATCCGCTGCAGCAGCCTGACTGTCACCGTGGAAATCAGCAGCAACATTACAGCGTCAACTTCTGTCTGCATGTGCGGAGACTTTTTAATGGCCGCCGCTGCTCTGTCTCCACTTTAGTGCTTTGAAATGGGCCCATCTGATCACTAATTTGAATTAGAGGACGGGGAGAAGGGCTCGTTATATGGAGAGCGCGTCTTTCTTCTCCGGCCCTCAGCGGGAGGCCGTTTACACGTGGGAAATATCGATCACAACTAAATGAATAAATAAATAAATTCAGACATAACATTTGACTAAATGCCTTAAAAGTAGTTCATTTCAGAAGGTAATGCTATTTAGATTAGTGATGAAAAATGATTTGAGATGTTCCGTCTCCTCTCTCTCTCTCTTTTTTAAAACTATTTTTATTAATGTCAAATTGTTACTATATTTCTGATATAAAAATCCCTCTTTATGATCTTATCAGAGCTATCGCCATACATGAAGACGAGCCTGCACGATCAGCAGAAAGGGCTTCTTTTATTCCCCCCCCCCCGCCCCCCCACAAACCCCCCCATACATGCACACACACACACACACACACACACACACACACACACACACACACACACACACACAACGTGCAGATGAACAGCGCGCGCAGGGCGGTCTGAGCTGCAGAAAGAAAAAACCCGTGTCCACTCTGCTGCTCTGCACCCCTTCATCCACCTGCACCTGTTTCTCTGCTCGGGGTTCATCCTGACCTGTTAGGGAGGGGGGGTGGGGGGGATGTCTATTTTATTTTATTTCATTTTATTTTGCTTTTTTTTTTTAACTCGCTCCTAAATGCGCGAGGAGTCCTGCGTGTTTTTGCTTCGCGCGCCGGAATGAGGGCTGAAGGTAAGGCTGCTGCTGCCTGGGTTATGTGTCTTTATGATTTACGAGCCTGACTCCAACCGCGGTTCAACCAGAGTTCAGAAAGCTGCATGCCTCCAGACTTATTCTCTCCCGCTCACTCACTGCATTTTCCTCTGCTCCTGCTCCAAAATAATTTGGTTTTGTCTAATTTCGGAAGAAGGGCGAATTTAATTTATTTTTTCCCCTCTCTCTCTCTCTCTCTCTTTCTTTTTATTTCTCTTTCTCTTTTTATTTGGGACGCTGCAGAAAAATAACAAGATGGATTTGTATCTCAGTTCGGGGCACAAACCGCGCAGCTTCTGCAGCACCACTACAGACATTTGTATAATTTTGCATTTGATGGATGACTTTTTCAGCAGATAGTGATATAACGTTTAATTTTTTCCTCCTCCCCCCCCGTTGCAAACAGAGCTACTCTTCAACAGAACAAAGGCTGTTATTTCTAAGGCCTAATGTAATGTCAGGAAACACCGCGGAAAACACAATAAAGCCTCGTTCATTTTCCCATAGAGTTTCCATAGAAATGTTACGTAATCATCATTGTTATTATTTTCCTTTTTAAAGCTTTCTTCGTGTAACAACAGAGAGACACGCATTCAGAAAAAACAGACCAGCGATTTAAATATAAATTTACCCATGTTCTAAATATAAATAAATAAATAAATAAATAAATAAATAAATAAATAAATAAAATTCATGTTGCTTTCCATAGAAAACGCAAAACAAAGGATGTTGGCGTTTTTTTTTTTTACTTAATTATTATTATTTTATTTATTCTTGTGTGTTTCTCAACCCAAATCCTCGTTTTGTCTCGCAGCCCTTTTTGCCATTCATGTCAGCTTACCATTGAGTTGATAAGATGGATCATTTAATCTCCTCCCTGATTTCAGTCTCTCCTTTCTTCTCCCTCCTGGATCCTCTCAGGCCTGAAGCCTTGGGCTCTCTGGAAACCTGCCATGTGACATTTGGCTGCCAGCAGTGCACCAGAAGGTCAAAGGGGGCCGCGGTGGACATTTCGTGGAAATGCAGAGCAACATCCACCGCCACAGTTGCAGCCATCCTCACGGATTCTTCGAGCCTGGGGATGGGGCGTCTGGCTTCGGGGGCTCCCGTCAACCCCCGACCCACCAGCACGCAGAGGAGCATCCGCGGAGGTCCAAGCGGCAAAGCCCCAATAAGTTCACAATGAGCAAAAAGGTTTTCCCCTGGATGAAGGAGTCGAGACCCTCCAGTCAGAATCCCCACAGGGGGGTTGCAGGTCGGTATGATACAAAACACCCAACAGCAGCTGGTTTAAAAAGGCCTTTTTCCATTTACACTATGGAAATGAAAGGGGATTTTGAATTACTTCCTTGAAATGACTAAAATATCGGTTCATTTATTTTGGAAAAATGTCTTCAGTAACAAATCCTATTTAAACAATTTCATTAGGATTTAACAGAAAACGTTGATTCAGATTCTCATTTGTTCAGCAGAGAACAATAATATAAGGACTTTATGGAAAAGACTGCAGATGAGAAGTTCAGTGTATTGAAGCAACAATTTAATTCTACATAGCTTGGAGAAAGCAGGCTAAAGTCAGCTCACCTTTCAACTTCTTAACAATAACTGCAACACAATTTTCAAAGATAAATTATCGCACAGTTTTACCTAAGACGATCTGAATATAGCTTTGACAGCTTTTTGCATTTGTTTCCTCATAATTGACACTCATCGCATGGGAGGGCGCGATGCTAATGTACAACCCTAATGCTAATAAGGTGTTTGTTCTTAGCATACATTTGATTTAGATAGATGCTAGAGAGGAAATCAAGTTATATTTGATTTTTTTTTATTCCAAATGCTGTTTCTCAGCAATCTAAGTTGACTTCTAATTATCAACCTTTGCTCTGATACGCCACAAATAAGATCAATGCCAGCAGTATCCGCCAGTTTGCTTGCAAGCCTGACCATGGCTTGCAAAACAGCATTATCGCTAAACTAGTTAGAGCTGGATGCAAACTTTTTCAAATCTACTCTAAAAAAGTGGAATATGAACATTTTTCGAGAAACTTCAGATAGATCTGTTACATTATGAGCAACAACAACTTCAGATTTAGAAATTCAGATTATTAGCATGCTAAATGAATACTCATTAGCAATTAGTCACTTTGACACAAAATAGCACTGTCACTAAACGAGCTAATACCTTACAAAAAAGATTCACATATATTCTAACAAAATAGCATTAATCTTTGATGATAACCGCAGCTAAAACCTGCTATTCACTTGCAAACTGCCTCAGAGTTTAGAAGCTAAGATTGCTAGCAAATTTGACCTTAGCATGCTACTTAGCACTGTAGCTAATTTAGTAAGTTTCATGACAAACCTTCTATATCTCATGACAGTTCTTAATGCTTCGTAAATCAATATATTTCTTCATAATCCAAACCATATAAACAGTTTTACTGCTTTTTAACAATATGAGAAATAAGTACAGCTAACACTGAACCATCTTCAGTTTAACTCTAATTCAGTAATTTATGTGGGCTTCCTTACAACAGCAAACTCGATGATGAAATGTAGCCATTCTTGCTGAGATATAAATTTGACATGTTAATATGTGCAAAACCTTGATTACTATAGTAAAATAAACAACACAATTATAGTTGTCCATTACTTTTACAAACACTTTACTGTGTCTTAGTCGTGAAGAAGTTTTTTATGACACCCAAAGGCAAAATAGATTAGCAAAAATAATCAAAAATAGTAACAATTCAACCTAATGTCAGGTTTTTGACAGGCTTGCATAATTTCTGCTCAAAAGCATTTCACACCAATTAGCCAAACAAAAATGATCCAAATTGTTCCATCAATTTTATTTATTTTTTTTTTTTACAGCTTAACAGCCAGTTTTATTATTGGTAAATTAATTTAAAAGCATCCATGTCCATTTAGTATCTTCTCAACAAGCTGCAGAGATACTTTTGAGTTTTGTTTTTAAAGGTTTAGGTGGTAGGTTGGTTATTAATTATGCTCTAATGACGCACATAAAGAAAGTGGTCATCAATATTTTGATGTTAATGAGGGGGAATTACATCAAAGTAAGAGCCATCAAACCAAACAAACCTAAAGCAACAACTACTATACTGACAATGAGAATAATAAAAATAATCACAGTTAGCAAACATTCTTTCATTTAATAGTTTACAGTAATTCTGGCTTGCATTTTGGCCTATAAAAGAAATGTTAATGAATTGCTGCTTTTACAGTTCCCAAGCTACCTTTTATTCATATAATTATTTTTGCTGTTATTGTTGATGTTATGTATCTAAAACTTATAAATTATCACTTCTAAATTAATCAAAAGGCCCTCATGGACTTTAAATTCCACAAAATGACACAACATTGTGTCTCATTAAGGGCTCGTCCCCACAATCCTCTGGTGAAGTTCTTCACTATAGACTTATTTAGCCTTATTTGTAGAAAAGATGAAACAGAGTGGCACAACGAGACTTTGCTGAATCTTTGTAAGAGCTGAGCCGGCCTCAGTGAAAAGCAAACTAAGCAGCTGCTTAGAGTCTCCAGCCAGCAGAGAACCTGCAGGAGCTCATTTCCAACACAGGTTAGGTTTCCAACAATTTATATCATTAGGTTAGTAGTAATAATTGTGCAAACAAAACTTTTATTCCTTGACATCTTAATGGTACAATATTTAAAGCAGCGTTGTCAGACCTTGAATTCAATGGCATAAACTTCAAAAGTACATAGATAGATGAAAAAAATGTATCTACGGATGAATTTCTTTGTAAGGAATAGTGTTTCTGTTGCAAAACTGTTTCATTTGATGTTCATAAAGCACCTTATAACTTGATAACTTGTAAATCAGTAAAATAATATTATATAATTTAAAAGACATACTTCATTTCAAATCCTTTTATGCAGAATACAAAAAAATAAACTTTTATTATTTGCAATAAAAATGGCATGTCAGAATCGAGTTCTTCCCCTTTCATCGATCAATAAAGAAAATAAATATTTTTTCTTTGTGTGTTTTTGACATTTGCATTTTATCTTTGATGATTTATCTTTAGTGATGAACACCAAGATGTTCAGGTTAAAATGCCTCCACCCTTCACAGATTCTCTATCAGAGTCAAATCGGGTCTCAGTATCCCTGCATCCATATTGGGGTTTTAGATGTTGCCTCCATCTAAACAGTTCCTAATTAAAAAAAAAACAAAAAAACACACACACTTGAAATGCTCCGTTTTACCAATACCAATGTTTTTAAATGATTTCTTTTCGATGTTTATCACTCCAGTTCTGACTGTTTTGTTCCCTTTAGTGACCTTTAAATCAGACGCCAGTCATTAATAAGCTTGCCAGCAGTTTTTAAATATAAGGTGCACAAGCATGCAAAAAATCAAAAGATCAAAAAATCAAGATGCATTTAAAAAGAAAGCAAAGCACGACTGTTAGAGCCTTTTTATTATTATTATTTCAAGCTGTTAAATAATACATTTATTTGTTTCTCATCTGAAAGACAACCCTTTTCCTTCAAACCCTCCTGCCACCCTGTGAAGCAGTGGCGCCCTGGACAGGGAGCCTTACTGCCCACACCAAACGCCAATATTGCCCACACCAAACGCCAATATTCAGATATGTTAAATTAGTATTTAAAACATTCACAACTTGCTTTTCAACGTCTCTCATAGAAACGCCACATCAGGATGATACTTCCACTTTTGTGCAGTTTTTCCGTCCCATTTCAAACACAGCGGTCACAGACGCATTGAACTTCTCTGAAGCTGCACTGCTGCTGTTGACTGGACATGTCTTTGGCTGCGCAGGTTGCACCGAGAAGCCTCCTGGCTCGAGCCAGGCCTCCAAGCGCACGCGCACCGCGTACACGAGCGCGCAACTGGTGGAGCTGGAGAAGGAGTTTCACTTCAGCCGCTACCTGTGCAGGCCGCGGCGGGTGGAGATGGCCAGCCTTCTCAACCTGAACGAGAGGCAGATCAAGATCTGGTTCCAGAACCGCAGGATGAAGCAGAAGAAGGACCAGAGAGTGCAGGGCCTCGCCGCGACGAGCACCAGCTCCTGCTCCCCTCCGTCCTCCCCCTCCGCCGCGGGCAGCCCCACTCTGGCGAGCCTGGGTTATGTCCATCTGGGTGCTGATTACCAGCCGCCCTCCCCTCCGCTCAAACAGCCCCAGCAGCAGCCTTACCCTGTGGGATACTCCAAATACACAGCCCCGAGCTTCACGCACGACCCGCACTTTGATACGGCGCAGTACAGCGCCGCGGACTCAAACCAGGGACTGGGCGGGTCGTACTTCTTGCAGGCCTGCACACCTCAGGACAGAATCATGCAAGCTCCGAAACTGACTCATCTCTAGGATTTCTGCACGCAACGCTGCTGATTATCCACTGGTTTTAGAAATAATTTATTCATAATCGGCATATTCGGATTTATATTTTAAGCATGCTTCCTTTAGCTTCAGTTAGTCCATCTCCAAAAGCTCAAGATGCACATAAGTAGAACTTGGTATTTAGGTAATTAAAAACAGATCATGTTCCGGTTCCAACCCATTACGCATGGTCTACAAATTATAAGGAGAAACGCTACGCTGAATGGCAAATCCTTTGTTTCTTTTTAGTTAATTTCTCTTAAGGAGCACCTAAACTCGCGCTTAACTGCAGGGCCCGTTTAGGAAGACCATTCTGCGAGATCCCCACATTATTATAACTCCTAAGCAGAGCAGAGCAGAGCAGGGAGGGAGAAAAAAAAAGAGGCTCCGTCTCTGGCTCTTAAACGGGTCTTTGTTTCTTTTATGGCTCAAAATGGACCAAACAAGCTGTCAGCGTTTATAAGGAGTCGTGATGGATCACTGCATTCACTGCGCTGACTGTTTCAGGGACCATGCCTCATTCAGGCTCCGTCCTGCGAGTCTGGAAAGCACAAAGATGTAGCCTGGGATCCCGGAGCAAAAAAACAACAAAAAAAACAACAACAACAAAAAAACAACAAAAACAAAAAAATAACAGCAACAAAAAAAAAAAAAAAAAAAAACAAAAAAAAAACAATTGAAATGAAGAATATTACAACAACAAAAAAAATCACTCTGAGAACAACAACAGAAAAATACAAAGCTGTCATCAGTGCATTGGAAGCAAAACATAATATGTGAAACAAACCATCAGATCGTATATGCAGTAAAACCAAATTATATTCAATTGTATTTATTTATTTATCTATTTATTTATTTATTTATGTATTATTAGTGTTTTATTTCATATAATTTTTTCTGAATTATTTTAATTAATAAGATTGTAATTTGTCGAAAATGTACTGCTATTGTCTAAACTGATTATACCCTCGTCTTTTTTTTTTAATCTCTGGAGATGTGGTGCTGTTCTTCTTCTTCTTCTTCTTCTTGGTTTGATCATGATTCATGTTGAGGTTATTTCCCTTTTCTTCTGTTGATGCTCCTCTTTGGTGCGCATGTGTCCTGGTGTTTGCGTCGTTATCAGATAGACGAGCCGCTCTGATTGAGGCGTTTGTCTTGTAAATGCGGCCCTTTGATGGACGAGCCTGCAGACTTGACGGACTGCTGTGGCTCTTATGCCATTGGTGTTTTGGCTGGTCACGTGGTGTGGTCAGGAAGGTGATATGAGGATGGAAGGCAGTTGTTTTTTCTTTTTTCTTTTTTTTTTCTTTCTTTTTACAGCTTTGACACGCTACCTAAGGTCAGGGCACAGGGAGCGACCATTGATGACGGCTCGCTCCCGATCAGGTCTGAGACAGCTCCACCAGGCCCAGGTTCCAGGATGAACTCCTACTTAGACTATCCGGTGTGCAGTCGCGGAGCAAACATTTTCAGCGCAAAAGCCGGACACTCCAATTTAAACCACGGGTACGCGTCGTCCAACTCTTGCGCAACAAGTGATAGTTACGCACCGGACGGGTGTTTGGTGCCACACCAGGCGCCGAGCGTCCCGCTGCACCACCAGCAGCACGCCAGTCTGGACCTGCAGTTCTCAGCGGCTGGAAACCCCGCGTACGGCTCGCCTCTGGAGTACGGACACCACCAGTTCGGCCTCGGTCCCGACCAGGACCGAAGCTTCGCGCACGCACAGGTATCGCCTCTCGGGATGAGCGTGGCTCCTTACCCCGGGGACTGCTGCGGCCCAGGCCAGTACGTGCAGTATCCGGATCAGCGGCAGCAGGAGTACTCAGAGAGTGTTTACAGGAGGCTACCGGCCCAGTGTAGGGAGAATGACCCGGAGCATGTGGAGGAAACTTCTAAAACTTTCGACTGGATGAGAGTGAAGAGGAACCCCCCTAAAACAGGTCGGTGGCTCCTTTCACTGGTGCGCGCAGCCCAAAGCAATGCGTTCAACCCTCACGTTTTCCATTCCGGTCTTCACCTCTCATGCTTCTTCAGCTCCATGACTTCCATGTTTCTCTCCATCCATCAAACCACCCCGTCACCCCCCCCCACCACTCCCTCTCTCCATCTCTCCCCACAGCTGTTCTGTCGGAGTTCGGGGTTCCGGGCCAGCCCAATGCGATCCGCACCAACTTCACCACCAAGCAGCTGACGGAGCTGGAGAAGGAGTTCCACTTCAACAAGTACCTGACACGGGCGCGGCGGGTGGAGGTGGCGGCCAGCCTGGAGCTCAACGAGACCCAAGTGAAGATCTGGTTCCAGAACCGCAGGATGAAGCAGAAGAAGCGGGAGAAGCTCGGCTGCGTCCTGGCCAGCAGCGCTCCACCGGAGAAACCCTCTGAAACCCCGAGCAGCACTGAAGGGGAGAAACTGTAAACTGTGCTGGGACTTTTTCCACGTTGGGTTTCACCATTCCACGGAAAATAAATACTCAGAGTGCTTGTGGACTTGTGAATCCCAGCAGCAACCAGGAGTATGACTGACTGCTGCTTTTCCTCTGAACTGGGTGCTTCTTAAAAACATCGATTTGTTTTTCTATGTTTTTATTTTCACCTCTCCGCCAGGAGCCCATGCAGGCTGTGCTTTGTGTTGTGTCACTGATCTCCTCAGTGTCATTGTTTTGCACTATTTATTTACAGGGTATTTTCCAACACTTGTTCAGATGATATAGCTTAATAAAGACTATAAAATATTACAGAATAACATCGCAGTTTTTGTGTTTGTAAAAGTTGACTATGTCCCCATATTTAGCCTAGTTTGGACCTATCTTTTTGAACAGATTTTTGTAAAGATGCATCAATCTGAGGATTTTTTCCCTGATTGTCTCTGACATGTGATCTGCAAGTCAAATGCTAACAAGATCTGATTTTTTTATTTTATTTGTTTTTTTACACAATTTATTAAACCCGTCGAAGCTCAAAACTCCTGCAACTTTCAACAAACAGCATGCACTTGTGGAGTTCAGTAAAAATCAGATAAAGTTTAGGGACACGCCCTTTAAAAACTGGATTGTGTTGTAATTCCTCAATTTTCTACTGCATTCTGCCTGTGTCTAACATTTTTTTCTCTGTTATGTGTTCATAGGCTTTAGAAAGACAAATGAAAAAAAAATAAATAAAATAATTGGATTTCTGCTTTCCTCTGACAAGAATCCAGAAATCTGTAATGGCCAATAAAAGCCTGATTGGCACATCTCTAATTTGTTGTGTAGATTTTGAATTTATTTGACTCCGACAATGTCAGCTTGCATAATGTGACAAGAGGAATCTCTGAGTGACCTTTTCACCTCAAAATACCTCCAGGGGCTTTAAACATGACAACAAACTCCAGGAAGTCGGGTCTCACTCTTGATTTGTTACCCAAATTCAACTGAGACACTTCTTACCACAAATCCGTTTCTATCCGGCCGAATTTAAGTGAAATGTTATTTTAGAAATAAAAACACACATTTTAAATACGAGCAGTGGCTGCTGTGGCTCCCAGAACATGACCGCCCTGTTTCCTCTCATTGTGAAGGGAGGCACAGTTTCAATATTTGCTCTGGGTGATGGGTTTACGCACACAGTTTCTGCCCCAACAGCTCTGGCCTGTTGATGCCCTTCTTCTCCAATGCTGAGGTTCACTCAGAGTTCAGGCACAAATGAATGCAGAGTCCATCTGTCAAGACGGCAGAGTGGCTCTGGCGAAGCAAACTCCCAAGCTTTTACGCTCTGGATTTTCACAGGTATTGCTTCTAATAGTCGCACTAATAAACTGTTCAGGCGCTTTCCTTTTTTTTTTTTTTTTTTTTTGGGCCACGACCAAGATTGTGTGAACTTTAATCTTTTTAAGGCGTCTGGGAAACGTGCATTTAGGAAATGGAAATCTGCAGTCGTTTGAAATTCATCTGCATGAGCCTGCAGTTCTTTCACAACTGTATTAAAAATTAATTCAGTTCCTGGAATAGAATTTACAGTTGAAATACCATACGAGCCATTACTGTAAATTAGAAGAAGGGCTCAGACGTTTGATGTCGTGCATTTCTTAACAAGGCCTGAAGCCTGCTCATCAGATGAGTCACAAAGCCAGAGGGCAAGTCTGGGGGGTTTGGGGGGGAAGTGACAGATCCAACAACAACAGCAAAAAAAGAAGGAAGGAGTTGGTACAGAAAGCAACTGTGGGACTTCTTTCCAGGGGTGTGATCCCTGCCATCTCTGGAGGTAATACCTCAGCGCTCCCAGCAGGCTCTCCATCTGGAGGTGTCAGAGTCGGTGGCGCAGCCAACACCGAGGAGACAGATGTTCAGCAGGGAGAGAGGAGGAGGAGGAGGAAGAGGATGTTTTTCACCTTCCCATCAGCGCCGGGGCTCCTTGCTTTCTGATGGAGGAGGACGCAGGACGAGGAGAGGAGCGGAGGACGGTAAGAGAAAAGAGCAATCGTCCTCCCCGGCGTACGCCCACAAATAGAACCGCAAACACCCGAATGAGCGGGCGACAACAAAAACCAGCATCTATCTATGTTTGACCTGCACATCTTTATCCGCTCACATGTCCCCCACCCCCTTCTGCCCTCCTCTGCACTTTGAGGTCAGCCTGGTGCTGTTTGTACCCCACGCTGCTTGCAGTTGTTGCAGGCTCTTTTACAAGTCTATTGCCAGGCTCACCTCCGTGGATTTCTACCAGTTCCTCTGTCGCATGTCACTCGGCGGGGTCCCAGAGGCTTCAAAGGAAACTGGATCCAGTATTCATGGCATGACAGGGGGGCTGGTCATCCGAGAGACGCCACGCGGAGGTGATTTTTTTTTAGTGGCAGGTATCAAATGTGGGGTTTTTAGATCAAATCCATTTGTCCTTTTGCAGTCAAATGCGATAAAGTCATGCGGAGTTGGACTTCGTATCACTTCAGAATTTCAATTTGTTTAGTTCATAGCCATTCTAAATAATTGAATTAAATTGGCAAATTAGGAAGAAAAAAGGACGTGATCTACATCAGGAATAAAAGGCGGCAATAAATAATCTAGCAATCTGGATAAAAACAATTGAATTGATAGAATCTAATTGAAATATATTTTTTTAGCTTTCTAAATGTCTTTGATCTCGAAATGTAATGCTTTTTTTTGTCAGATGTTAGATTACATGGAATATCTTTTATTTCCAAGTTTTTGATTGGATAAAGACGTCTGATGAGGTCAACTTAGGACACAAGAAATAAAGAGCTTCTTTCCGTATTCATGAAATTTCTTGCTTGCTTTAATCAAATCTGGACTGACATTTCTTCCTGATATTTTCATCTCTAATTTACCAGTTTAAATCTGTATGTTTCCTGCATACAGCTCTATGAAATAAAGTCTTGTCATCCTCCAAATGCAGCAGAATTTAGCCAAGGAGCAAACTCTTTTAGGGAACAATAAATGTGACACGTTTTATATCCTTGCCAAAATTTTCGCTCTTGAAAAAACTTTTTCTCATTTTGTCACATTGCAAGCTCAAACTTCAGTGTATTCTTGGAGAGCTTGAGAGACAGAGCAATGCAAAGAAACACATAACTGAGAAGAAGAACAAAAATGATCCATGATTTTTAATGGTATTTGCCCCAAAAAAAGGTATTTAAATAAAATTATATACTCGGACCCTTTTTGCCTGAGATCCCTAAATAAAGTTCAGTGCCACAACCTTCCTTTAGAGAAATCACTTAATTATTGTTCACCAGTGTCTAATATAAATCCAGTTGTTCTGTGAAGCCCACAGCATCATGAAGACCAAGGAACACGGTGGACAAGTCAGGAAGGTAATTGGGGAAAAGATTAAACCAAAATTACGTTATAAAATAATAAAGCAACATATCAGAGAGCACTGTTCAATCTGTCATCTGAAAATAAAAAGAAACTCTAGAAAAACATGCCTGAGGACCTGAACTGGGCAATGGACGAAGTCATTCCAGACGTAACCTCAGGGAGTCATGGTAACTCTGGAGGAGCTGCACACACAAACTGGAGGCTAGGAAGGAAGTTGATCTAAATCTAATATAAAAATTCTCCAGTAAGATCCTGGAGGACTTCTGGGCTCTATAGATGTGCACAATGCTGGAAGATATAAAAGACTCACAGCTGAATTCAAATGCACAAGACATTTTTAATATTTGTTTCCACCAAAACTTCTAAAGCTATTACAATTCTTACAATTATGCATGAATTTGTGCGGGCCCATCACATAAAATCCCAAAAGAACACCACACAATGTTACTGCAACATGTGAGAAGGGATATGAATATTTTTGCAAATAATGTGAAAGTCACAAAGTTCAATATTTGGTCATCAAACGAAATATTTACAATAATTAAACTTATTTATTTGACGTTTTCACAGATATTAGTGAGTCTTCCTGAATCCAGTGTGGGTAGAGATGGCACACTTTCTGTTTTTTTTCCCCTTTGTTTTGGCGCTGAGCCTCCTTAAAGTCCAGCCAAGGAGGCTCCTGACAACCATCCCCCATTCGAGTCAGGCTCGATTGGACCTGGAAGCGGCAGCTGACTCGAAGCTCCTGTCTCCTGGATCTCCCCTTGCGACTGGATCCTTTCCCCACTCCATCAGCATGGTAACTGAGAGAGACAAGTGACTTGGCCTGGGTTAACGTCTTAATACTCCCTGGGATTGCCTCCAGGATCCAAATGGCTACCCCTAATAGTTTTCCTCCTCTGCGTCCCTGTCAGACTTCTATGACTGCACACAGTAGGGGGGAAAAAAAATGAATAAATAACAACAAGACTAGCTGAGAAGCAGAGTAACGAAGCAGCACAATGAAATAATGAGGGGTGGTGAAGGAAGGTGTGAGCGTTTTGAAGGGATTCTCCGTGTGGAGAGCCCTGCGCGCTTGGTGTTAAAAGCGGCCTGCTTCCTTTGGAGCCCAGGAGGGGAAAACCAGAACTCAATCAGTGTCACGTCGCATGGTTCAAAGCGGCCAATTCGACGCTGCCAGGAGGTTGAGAAATGCAAGGTGACAGTTCATTTTACCAGTGACAGTGTGTCGGTCTCGCTTGCTGCTTCCACAGTCAATTTCCAGCGAGCAGTGAAGGTTGCTGGAGACAGACAGCGGCTACACCTCCTCCTCCTCCTCCTCTTCATCTTCGCCACCGCCGCTCTCCCATCGACCCTGCTCTGCTTTGTATTCCAATTAACTGGACAGGAGAGGGACGGGGGGGTGGGAGGGGGGGGGAGAGGCAAGCAAAATGCAGACACGTCTTTGCGGTTTCCACCAATACCAATAGTGCTGCGCTTCCCCTTTCTCTTCCCCTCTCTGTTCTCGGGTTGCAGCCGGCCAGTTGTTCAGGGGGGAGCCGTATTCTCACCTCCCTCCAGGGACAATGTCTCGGTCGTGAAAAATAGGTCCCTCTCACACATTCATACATCACGTGTAATAGAGGTGTGTAATCGCTCAGTCGTGTCAAAGCAGTGCGAGCTCTAACTGCCATCCTTAACAGACACCTCAAGTAATGCTGAATTAATATTTTGAAATGGCTCATATATTCTAACATAATAGAATCCGAATGATTTTTCCATTCACAGCGTTCAGGGCTAACATTGATCTGAGCTGTGGTAACAAACCAAGTCAGTCAATTTGAAGCAGGTTGAAGGCTCAGATTTTTGTGTCCTCCATCTATCTATTCTGGGATTTTTCTTTTTTTTTGTCTTTCCTTTACTTTGCTGCAACAAAAGCCTCCTCTCCTTCACACTGACATATGTTTGAGCAATGGGTGGGACGGGGAACGCAATGGTTTAGGGGATATCCGAAAAGTAAACTGCCTCTTTTGATCTGCAAGAGTAGAGCAAACATTTACAACAAATGTAACTAAAAAAAACAAAATTAGTAAATTAATGTCACACTTCAGATTAACCAGTCAGGATTATTTTTTTAAAAGAGCTTTTCACAAATGTTCAAAGAATACACAACACTTGAACTTTTGTTATGAGCTCAAACCTCCAATTATTTCAGTGGGTTTCCAGTGCATAACTGTGAAATTAAAGGAAAATTATTCAGTTTATTTTATTTATTTTTTTTTACCACAAATGATTATTCTTTTAATTTCTGCTTTAACACCTTTCATTTCTCAGTTTATAATTTTTAACATTTCTGATGTTTTCACTGAAAATTGCATTAATTAACTGAATATATTCCTCGCATCATCAATTATGAAGTGGAAGTTAAAAATCTAGAATGTGGTGTA